GAAGAAGGTATTAAAAGAAAAGTGAACTGTGTGCACACAACTTTCGCTAGACGAGTTATTTATAGTTATGAATAAGATTCTTCTTTCAAGTAATCGTACATACATCTACATACATATGTATATATATATATATGTACAAGTACATATATATATGTTATGTAGTATATATTGTACACGTAGATAGTGCCTAAGCCACAAACTGCTTAATCATTCAGTCATCATCTGCTGTATTGCACACACTTGTATGCATTTATATATATACGCTATGTAAATATGCACATATATACACACACACATATATATACACACACATATATACACACATATATATATATATATATATATATATGGGTTTGGTTTGGTAGACGATTTTTCATTTTGTGATCACCTTCGGCTTTTCAAGTCATGAATATGCATATATATATATATATATATCTATGTATGTATACATATATCGTTGTATATATATATATATATGTATATATCCATGTATATGTATGTATATATATATATTGTTAAATTTGTTATTTTTGTTGGCTGGTAAGTAGTGAGTTTTGTAATAATAATAATAAAAATAAAAATAAAAACATGAGGCTTGTCTATCCGTCTGTATAGTCAAAATGTTGTAAACCTTGCTTACCTAAATCACCATGTTTCCGTACATAGCTTTTTTTTTTTATTTATTTTAATAGATTGCATTTAGAATATATAAATTCCGTTAGAAATGTACTTTACATAAATTACGTTTACTAACGAAGTCAAGTAAATGACGTAATCATCGTAGATTCATCTTCTTCTACATTAAATTTTATATACAATTTAACGCTCGAGCTATTACTTATCGCTCGGACACTAATCCATGCATGCATACGTTGCTTTTAGAGCTCAAGCAAGACTTTCGCAAACACCGAAGGGGAGGGGTTGTTCAAAACTTGCCCTATCGTTTATGAAATCCAGATCAGTAAGATGTACGGGTGTAATGACAAGTGCGTGCGCAAAGATAAACAAAAAAAAAATATATCTTCACGTTTTTTTTTTTCTTTATACAAAAACTAGTAATAACTCTCCTTTTTATATCCTACACCACTTCTTGCATAGACGAACTTAAGACAGATCCACAATTTATTGTACTGATCGGTTTAGAAAATGATTCCGAATCTAAGCTTGTCTGTGCGTTCGTCAGATATCTGTGCACGCGAATTTGTGTTTAAGTTATCGCTCGTAATTTCTGAGATATTTTCTTAGAATTTGCCTCGCTGATGTGCTTTGGTCGGTTTGTTCTTGCGAGCAGTCGCGAGCACACGCGTCTTATTTTCCATACTCGTTGTATAGAAAAACATTGCAATTTTTACAATTTCTCCACGAAACACGCTTTGTAATAGTATTTGGACATTCTCTGTTGGTATGAAAAACTTTGTTCGGTTGGGTTAGTTTTTTGAACTTTTTGCAACCATTGCTACGAAAACTGAATCTTTATATAAAAAGCAAGTGTAATTTTTATATTTTGATGATGAAGATGGGCTTCATTTTTGGTCTCGGTAACTAGAGAGTGCCTTTGTCGTTGAATATCATTTAAAGTTAAATAGTGTAAGATTCTAAGCTGGTTTAGCCACGTTTATCCAACCGGCTACTACCGCCCGTTTTCGGTATTTTCAGTGTGGCAAATATTGAAAGAAGAAACTTGAAAGTGGGCAGAAAAGCTCATAGCTTAAGTCCACACATAAATCTTGAAATTTTGTAGTTTTCACGGGATTGGTATGAAACATTAATCTTGAGGGGAACAGCGAGCGTAAAGACTTGCTACTGTTAAACGCGTCACGCTCATTGAATTGAGTTTTAAATCATTTCGCGCTAGACAGTGGCGTCGCATTGAATGTGCCCGACCGTGCTGTGTTAAAATTTGCTTATCCTGTCTTATCAAATCTCCACAAAACTTTCATTGGTTGAGATAAGAAACGGTTTATAATATTAATCTGATGTGACTGCAGGTGATCGTCCTTTCATTTAGTTGCATTTAGGCCTAATTTTATAACTAAATAGTGTATCTATCTGTCATTACTACTGCCTACTCTACCTATTCAGATCTCTAAAAACTTTGACCGCATTGCAATGCCAAGTTGTAATCCATTGGAAATGCAATTTCATATGATTTACTCGTAACATTGCTGTCTTGTTAATATTTATTTGAAATCTTTCTAAAGCATTTCTTCGCCTTACTCTCTATTTTCGCAATAACAAGCTTTATAAAGAGAATAAAAAAATGAATATATCTCTACGTTCCGGTGATGGGTACAAACAGACAAAACAAGTTTTTATTGTTTCTCTAACATTGAAATGTCTAACACTACATATATATATAAATATATGCTTTAAGTATCTTATTATATTATATATGCATACTGAAGGTGAGGGTGGTAGCGTCAAGGAAAGCAAGCGCTAACAAAAGCGCCTATGAGATATTATCATTAGTCTATAACGGCTATGGTCACGTATACACGGAATTGTTGATCATTAATAAATAACCATGTTTATGTTTATTGTCTCAAGAACGTCCAAGATTTTTAAATGTTTAACCCTCCAACGACGCAACGGTCATGGTTATATATGATTTTCTGGCCAATGCTATTTGCATCGCGAAAGAAAAAAAAATGATTTTTATCTACATATCTGGACAAAATCATCTATGTCTATATATACAGGGATAAAATACAAAAATAATTTGACGTCAATATACATAAAAATTGATACAAAACGCGTGTGCGCATACACAATCTTATAAGAAAACTCGGTTGCTTTTTGTTTTTTGTTATCAAAAAAAAAAAAAATGCAAAAAGTTACTGCCTTTTAAACCAGAGAGTTCACTAAACTTGCTATAAGTAAATTGATTATTTGTTATTTGGTGAGGGGTCTTATTTTTGTGAAATAACAGGTTTAACTTAATCCATATCGTTATAGTATACTGGAAAAAATGTCATGGGAGATTTTTATGAATATTTTTTCTCTTTTTTTAAATTATAAATACAGCTTCTTTTGTATTATTATTATTATTATTATTTCCGTACCCATCGCTGAAGGATGAAGGATGTATTCATTAAATCAAAACGTTTCTAAACCGATTTAAGCCTGTTGGTCGGTCGGTCTATATGATCTCTGTGGTCGCAAAAGTGAAGCTATCGATTTTTAAATTTAGCGAAAATATTGAAAGTTCTCTCACCCACGCCGATAGTAAAGCGTGAACTCAACATCTCTATTTCTCCAAGTAACATTGTATGGTCGATTTGAGTATAAAATAAAAGCGCTTTACAAGCATACACAATTTATATAGGCCGATGTTTTCTTTGCTTTATCTTCAGTGACGACTCACTCGCACTCGGAATATACTACTCCTTATATTCTTTTCATCATCGAAGGATGAGAGGTATATTCATTTTTCTTTGCAACGGCTGAAATGAAGGTTCAGAAATCCCGTAAATTGTCTTGGGAATTTCTTCTTGGTCAGCAACAAATTCTGAATTGATTTAAGCAATCCCCCGGTACGTCTATGTAATGTCTGTTGCAAACATTCTCCCGGCTCCGAAACTATTGACTTCAAACTTGACAGAGACATTGGAAGAATCTTGCGCGCAGGTTGGTATTGAAAAATGGTCGGGCCGGTTGATCGAAGAATGTGCCTTCAGTTCCATTTAAACTGATTTTTTCAAAAGGGATAAGGAATTGGTGTTTTATTCGTTACTCATAAACTGCAGCAGATAAAACTATGAAAATTTTAGCCTAAATTCTATGGGCGATTGTGTAATACCTCTACAAGACTGGCGAAATTTGACCTCGCCTACCCGATGTGTTAGTGTGTAAAATTTGAACTTTTTTTTAATGCCTTCAAAACAAACAGGAGCAAGTTCTAAATCATCATAAAGCATCGGAGAGTTTCAAATTCGAAAGGCACCTAAACATGTTCATCCGTCCATCTGTCCACCTGCCAAATTATGTAAACATTGTTATTGTCTAAATATTTGCAAAAGAATTTAAAAATGACCCAAACTGATCAAAAAACAAGCCTACAACGCCCACACTCCTACACAACAACAAAGGCTGTGAACACCCTTGGTCTTCGTGTTTTTTGCTTAGTGGTCCTAAAGTACAGCACGCACACACACTATAAAAACTAACCCGCTTTCATTCTGAAAATGGGAAAATGCAACCGCCCCCACCCAATATCATAGAGTATGAAAATGTAGATTTTTTCTTTTTTTAGCCTTTTTTTAGAAAAACTATGATAATTATAAAAGATTCGGTCACGACCGAATAAAAAATTTTCTTACGTTTTTTATTTAACGTTTTTAAGTTTGCCTTCAAAACGATTCTATCGGTGACATTACTGGGCCAGTAAAGTACCAGAATTGCAATTATTTTTATAGCGTCTTGTTTTCCAATCGAAAGTTTTGCAGTGAATTTAAACAGTGAAATTTCTTGGATTAGTTACGAATGCTTTTATGACTTTAGAGTCTTTTGTATAATTTTGGCCTAAAGTTGATCTGGATTCCGATAGGTACATCTACGTCTAATAAACATTTGACAAGTTCAATTTAAATCAGTAAATTCTTTTAGCAAACAAACATCTTCACTTGTGTATTTTATTAGATTTGCTTAATTCAGGAAACTGCTACTACTGTACGGAGAAAAGGAAAACGCAAAAATCAAGTTATATATAAGTAGGAAATCATTTTTTTGACTACAATATGTGTATGTGTGAACGCATATTTCGTATCTATTTTTCCTTAAAAGTTTTATACATTTTCATAAATAATTTGCATCGTGAGTAGCTTTTTTCAAGTTTAATATTTTTAAGCGTTTGTTGTTTTTTATTATATATCATAACTTGAATTGTCTTGAAAATGCAAACGAGTTTTTTATTATAATTAATACTTTTTTTTTTTTCTTTTTGAAATATATATATTTATAATTTTCTTTCTTTCCTTTTTCTAAATGTATTTTTATTTTAGATTGCCTTTATATTGATGGTTTTGGTTAATGTACACACGTGCTTGAAAGCTTTAAGTGATTTAAAAATAGATTCTCTAAAACTGGAAATTCGTAAACTAAACATTTTGTCTCCCACTCATTTTATTGTGGAATTTATGTTAGAATTAAAATATTTTAAATTACAAATATGTTATTATTATTATTAACCACTCATAAGTCGTTGTAAACATATGTTAAAAAAAAAAAAACAAACAAAATTTCATTTGATCACTAATAAGAAGCGTGCCATTCATTTTTGCTATTATTAACATTAAAAAAACACTTAGCCAAGCAGTAGTGGTATGTAATGTTGAAGTGTTACCTACTTTATACACATAATATCTCTTCCCCTCTTTTTTCACAATGTATTGTATGTATTTAGAAAAATTTCATTTGTACTTGTTTATTTAATTTGCACATAACATATGTTCTGGCCTGTTTAAATATTTGCAATTTATATATATATATATATATATATATATATATGTATGTATTCGTACTAGAAAGTAATTTATATTTTAAATGTGCCATAAACTGTGTAAAATTGATATTAATCGTCACTTACTAAAAGCCAAACAAAAGGGGTTTAATTGCTAAGTTCGCGAAAGCATGAACGAGAGCGCAGTATAAGATTTTTTTTTTTTACTATGATACCATCCAGTCCAACTTTTTTCCAGGCATGACGGCTATCTCTCTTATCAAAAACCTACTTTTTCCTTCTATATAGTTTCCTGTTCTTTTCAAGTTTTAATGGCTCCTCGGTTTATATCATTTTTTGTTCTTCGCATTCTCAAGAGTCAAGAGACTTAAGTAGAATTTGTATAATACAAAAAATGCGTTAGAGCAACAGGCGTGAAAGTTGACTTCTTCGACGTTATTGGGGGACGCGCCTTGTATTTTCTTTACTTCCCAAATTGATTACACCATCATTATATGCATTGGCTAAAACGATATTCAGGGGCTTCCGGCAGAGTGGCACCTGACTGGTCATCTGGTGGCTGAACTTGGCTTTTGCGTGACACATTCATGATGCATTTGTTTTGGCTGACAACGCTCTTTGAGGGTGATTACTAGTAGTCCATCGCCCGCAAGACATTTTCAGCAGTTAATGGGCTCTTTATTTACTTTTATATAGATGGGATCCGACTATAATAAAGGTGTAGACAACGAACTCTTAAAATTATTAAAATTATTATCCAGAAATGTTGCCACTTTTTTCTTCAAACAATCTATTATCTAGCACTCCCATGGATATGGATCGATAATAGGGATGTACGGGGTATTGCCGCTCAGCCAACGCAAATATTGCAAAACCTTGGCAATAGATCACAGTAAATTATTGACGAATCATATGATCCGCTAATTTAAATACGGCAAAGGCAAGAAACGGGCATTTATTGCTTAATATATTCTATAATGATATTAAATCATAAATAGCATTGGGATTTTTAAAACAGGACAAAGGAGAAGAGTTTTACGCTGTCGGCGTACACCGAGATTTGACTGGATTTGTTCGCGAACAGAGACCGTTAAAATATAGGATTAATAAAATAGCCGCTTAATTGACTATCTTGGGCAACGACTGACGTAGACCGAAAAATTCGTTAGAGTGACAATTAAAAAGCACTCTAGACAATCTATTACGGCAATGTGAGATAAAATTTCACAATTAGTGAAAAAGGCGCATTTGTGTCACATTTGCAAAAATTCTATAGTAATCTTTTCGTATTTAACCTAACTTTTGTGTTAACCAGGTTTTTTACAAAATCGTGCTTAGGTTCGGACGCTATTTGTTTTCTTCAAAAGTAATATTTGGTCCAACAAGACTACATATTTTGTTTTTTTTTGTGCGTAATTTAATGTATTTCTTGCACTTAGCACTTGGTAGATGACATTGTTCTCAATAACAATGTAATATTCGGCTCCTTGGCAGATTTAATATCTCAACTACAACCTCGGAGAAATTCAATTCTAACTCATGTTTCAATAATTATCTATTGAAATAGATAAATAAATATTGCTTTAGCGTAATAAATATTGCTTTAGCGTCCACTGAGCGAAGTTAACAGTTTTAGGCACGTTTCATCCCATCTATTCTCCTTTTTATAAGCATCTTCTCACTCATTTTATGAACAAATTCGAAAACTTATTTTTGCTCCTATTTTCTCTGCTCTCTTTTATGGGAGTGTTTTGTATAAGTTCGGACCAAACGGTCACTTCACTTTTTGCGACATTTAGCTAAAGAACTTGACAAGACCTACTAACTGCTTAACTAATAATTTGATCTAATGTCTATTCTGTGTCGACATGGTTTAAGAAATACAGTGTCGACATCTAGACGATGTAGGTGGGCGAAGAGTTAAGAAATGCCTGGCGCTTTACGGTTAGATTAAATATGCTTGATGCTTGACTGCCACATATATGTCGTCCACAGGCTCCATCTTATTTTCAATTACGATTCCCAGCACGTGCTATACAGTAGTGTGATTCAATACCAATCACTTGGGAATTTTCGCATGGTTACGGAAAGTGACCAACTTTAGTAAAATGAAGCTGTGATCAAAGTGTTAGGAACAGCAATTGATGTCAATCTCGACTATCTCAATTGCTCCAACTTAAAAACCAAAGGGTTGTCACAATTGTCAAACGTAATTTAAAGGAGATGTTTAAAGCCGTGAAAAAAAAATGCTAAAATTGAAAATGTTTTAATTAAAATGTAAAAAATTCTCATTTCACATTAAAGATGAAGAAACGAGATTCATATACAAGCAAATGGATTAGCTCATAGGCTACGTTGCAATACAGAAATAGTCGATAAGGCTCATGTTAAGTCTTTGTAATCATAGAAATAATCATATTTATTCTGTTTGTAAGTTTGATGATGATAATTATCCGCTTACATTTTGAAATGGATATATATGTATATATATATAGATAAACATATTAAACATATTTATTAATAATTTGATGTCAAAATTCCATATGATCGATCATGTTAAAACTGTGCGCACAATTAAAATCGAAAAAGAGAAAGTTTTTCTTTTGTTAAACTTGGTTTTTATCGTACATATACCTAACCTTCAAAATACTATTAGAACATATGCTAAATAAACCCTAATATTAAAATAATTAACCAGTAAAAAAAAAAAAACAAAAAAAGTTATAAACATTTACAGGTTTATGTTATTGCGTTATTTATATTATATTATTCCAAGCCAATTAAACGCTAAGTATTAAACTGTGAATGCCAATCGCTTTCATTATATGAAAAACTAAAATAAATTGCTCTCTTTTTACCCTTTCCCATCCACCCGTCATTGCCTGTCTGCAGCATTCATTTAACTGTTTGCACATATTACATAGTTGTTTCGTTTAAAATCTTTTCATTACAAAACTTTCATTGTACACTTATTGAGCTAATTTTAAATCATTTTAATTTATTGTAACTGCATAACGTATCTGCTTATAAGAAGGGATATTGTAATAAATTAAAAACAGAAGACAAATTTCCTTTGTACATAAATTTCGCTTGTTTTAATTTAGTTGACAATTCATTTAGTTGTATATGTGAAAAAAATCTTTGGGAGAAATAATCATCTCATGTGATAATGTTTGCTTAAGCAAATGTTGCGAATTATATATTAACTATCATTAAGATTTAATATTTTTAAATATATTTTATGGATTACTTACATTATGTGTTTTTATTTTATAATTCATATCGCAATTAATTTCGGATCAGATTGAGCATAACTTTCAATAAAAGAGTGGCACAAAATTCAATCGGATGTTTCTTTTTTTTTTGGTTAGTTTTAAGCAAATTTTACGGTGAATACGGAAAATTCTAGCACGAGATTAAAGCCTTTCAAATTAAATAATATTAGTTGCTTGCATGTGTTTTGATCATTTTTTCACTTGAAAAATTGATACAATATACATTGATCAAAGTATTTTTTCTCATTTTCTACAACTTTTTCCCATTTGTCTGGCAACGTGGGATACCGTGTCGAAGGAACGATATTACTTTGGCGGCGATCCATTTTTGCACTTTTTCAGCATTTCGAAACCGCGTGCTAGCCCATTCATGCTGTGCAGAAGGCGCTATGTCTCGTGAACACGCTAGCTGCGGCAAAACTTTCCGGTCGAGCTGTAACAGTGTATTCTTGACAACTCTTGTAGCGTGTGGCCGAACGTTGCAATGTGTTGTAATGTTTGCATCTGCTAAGCCTTGCAAGTCGTTGCCAAACTGAAACTTTTTTGGTCCTCTTTGTCGTTAGCATTAAAATCGCCACTTTTAAATCGTTGAAACCAAAACTTACAATTGGGATCTGAGCAAGCAGCATCACTATAAACATCCAAAGGTGTTCGAGAAACTTTGACATAAGATTTCTTTAAATCAAACAACAAAAGTAAGGAATGTCGAAAATGCAATTTTGAGCGTTCCATGATTAGCGTCTGTATACACTGAGCAATTCATAATAGTACATGGAAAACAGTTACTTTAGGTATATAGAGGTCAAAATCATTGAATTTAACCACTGTGTACATTGCTACTTCACATTTTTTTGTTGTTTTCACCAATAGGTGTCGTTGATCAAAGCAAGCAATGCAAGAATCTATTAATAATTAAAAAAAAAAAGAAAAGATACTATATTCAGTGCAGTAGTTGGCGTTTTTTGCACTTTTTTATTGGAGGAGAGGGTGACACTTCATATCCCCCGCACATCGCACACTTTTCAGATCACATTTATACGAGTTAGCAGAACTTCGTAAAAACACATTACACCCACCACTTGTAATCACATATATCGTTGTGAGTTCAAGAGATGAACAACAGATATATAGGCAGACAGAGAAAGATGGTTATATCGATTCCGTCATTCAAGATGATCAAGAACATGTTTGATAAAATCTAATATACTTCTCGTAGGGTGTACAAGAGTGTATTCAGTTTGTGCGAATGTTTGCAACATCGATTCAGAATCACTTTCCGAATTGATCTAAGCTTCGCTGTCTGGCTGACCATCCGTGCGCCCATCTATCCTCCTTGTGTTTAACTTACAGGTTGCTATTTTTGGAATACCTTGATGAAATTTGACACACCAACATGTTTTGGCCCAAGGACGAACATAACTCATTATTTTTAAAAATCGTTATGTAAATAGCCACGTTAAACGGAATGATGTGTAGTACTTAATAGTGGGGCCTGGCTCACAGTATTTTTTATTTTTATTATACCCGATACCATTTGTGGTCCAAACTATGTTGAGCTTGTATGAATGTATAGATGTACTTGATCGATTACATATTATTATATCGATTTAGCCTTTTACGCCTGTCCATGTTTAATGTTCGCTCATGGGTTTTTCCTTTCAACCTACGAGTCCAAATTGTTAGGATATTTTGACGGCATTTTTTACTTTAACATGTTTTGGCCCAAGCGCGAATGCCGTTGAAAATAGTATGAATCTTTGCAGCCCCATATGACGCTTTATTTTGAAATGCTTATTACGTGAAAGAAAAATGCAATTTTCAGCGTTTTTCGGCAAAAATTACTGAGCAATAGTATAGTGGCAAAAGTAAATCCTTACACGGCAAAAAGGTCTAGTTTTTAATATTGAAATATTTATTAAAATTGTTCCACCAAAGTAATTTGAACTAAAAATTAATTGTACAAAATTTGTGTGATTGGTGCCAAGTATTTAAACGTTGTCCTTACCCGGCTATAAATTTTTACTTATTTTATATATTATTTTACTTTATTAGGTGTCGAAAGCATATTCTTCGAATTCCTCTTCTGTAAGGGATAGCGCAGAGATGGTGACCTTATTTAATACTTTATATTATTTTCCATAGAAAAATATTAAAATTTCTCTTATTAGTAACGTATCGATCGGTAATTCCTAGGATAAACATCACCTCTAACGAAAAAATATGTGTTATTGTTAGAAAGCACTAACTATCAAACGGCGGTCGTTCAAATTCCAAGTTGTTACGAGTCACGTACGGGTCGATGAAGCTAAACGCACTGAATGTTCAAAAGAGTTATATCAGAAAATATCAAAAAAAAAAAAAAAAAAAATCGTAAACAATGGATTTCATAATTAAAAAGCGAAGCTGGAAAAGATAGCTGACATCCTGAAGCCATCATCGTGTTCACTATTTTATGTCGAAATTTTGCCAGGAGAAAGCTAGTTTTCAAATGGGTACAGCGTTTACTCTCAGTGGAACAAAAGCACCGCCACAAATGCAGCAAGTTAATCAAATCTGGCGCGCAGCAGCTATCATTGTGGTCTAATCTCAAAAAGATATTCCGGTAGAAAATTTGGTCCAAATGATGAGACGCGTCAAAGAAAGCATGAGCCATCTTCCAAGCCACTGTATGAACGAATACAATGGCTTTATTGCCAAAAAATCCATTTCACGCTTTACTAAAACGATCGGTTTGAACTATCGTTAGACTCTTAGCAAAGATCTTTTGGAGTTTGAGGATAGAAAAACTTATGAAATTTTCCTCCAATTCAAACGTTTTCTTTTGTCGAGATCATCTCTGGAGCTGTGGTTCTCACGTTTAGGTGTTTATATATATATATATATCTTTTCTTTGTTATATATACATATATATCTTTTTTTTGTTTTGGAGTTTCTGCCCAGCGCTTTCTACATTTTGTTTTTCTTCGTTTACTCTAGCAGTAAATGACAAGAGGGTAAGCTTCCAGTCCATTTTATTTTAACGCATTCCATATTGAGCGGATTTTCGCAGCCTATATACTGTACAAAAAGGGGCTTCGATGTGCTTGAAATTTTTTTTCCATGTTTTTTTTTAATAAAGTTTCAGATATAAAATTTTAAAGATATCTTGTGTCACATTTCTACACGCATGTGCTATAATATAATATTAAAATAACTCGATTTTTTTCTAATCTCTTTTTAAAATTACAGTTTAATTGTAGCGTAAAGTGAAGAGTGCACACACATATACAACAGAAGTTGTACACAGCATTGTATAGAAAAGCCGACAAGAGAAAAAAAATAGAGAGGGAGGGAGAGAGAAAGCAAGAGAGAGAGAGAGAGAGAGAGAGGGAGAGAGAAGAGCAAAGAGGGGGCATATGACTGAAAATTCCATAATCAACTATATATTCCTTTACTTTACCGCACATCCATTATTAAAAAGCTGCCGGAGGGCAAAAAACGTTTTTGTTAGCCATTATGTTAAATCCAAATCATACTGGTGCGACGCGTAGACCTTTCTCTCGTAACGGTCCTTCTACACGCAATCATCGCAGTCGTATGCTTTTCTCGCCCCATAATCATCCACACCACCATCATCACCATCATCATCAGCAGCAGCAGCAGCAGAATAACCATTATTCGTATCAACAGCAACAGCAGACGCACAGTCATCAACAACGTGCGAATGGCAATGCGCTAAGTTCCGGTACAAGTATTAACCAGAATACGGGTGCTTCGTCCGGTGCCAGTTGGTTTAAGGACAGCAACAACAATAACAACAACAACAACAACAATAATAATAATAATCTGGATAACTGGAATTTACTTGGGTAAGATAAATACGTTTTACAAATTAAGTACAACATCCTCCTCCAAACAACAAAACACACCTTTTTATTATTATGATTATTATTGTTATTATTGAATAATAAGTATAAGAGAATAACATAAAGATGTGTCGAGAGAAAAAGGAAACCTTAAGACTTGGAACTTACCTCCAAAAATAAAATATATGTATATAGACATATATATTCTATTAAAATGATATCCTTTAGCAATTCCTTACATAACGTTATGAAATATTCAAAAGAAAAAAAAAAAAAACAAAAAAAGCAAAGCAAAGAAAACGAACAAGTTTACCTCCCTAACTGTCCATATTCAACTGAATCCATCCACTCACCTATACACCATCTATACTCTCTTGTTTGTTTGGTTAACAAATAATCCACGCCTTGGTTTATTTTTTTTTTCGTTGTTGTATACAAAATGCTTTAGGTTAAAGGGTGAATTTTGTAATAAAGCAAAAAATTTAAAAAAAGAAAGTTTTCAATAAAAAAATTAAAAACCGTTTCTCACATTTTATGCATTCATTTATGTATTTACGCTCAAAAATATTAGTCAGTGTCACATTCAGTTTGCTGGCTCAATAAAAACGTTAGTGAAACACTTACATTGGCTTATAAAACTAAATGTGTTTCATGCGTATCTCTCTCATTCACTTACTCACTCAACCAACAACAAACTACTACTTCATTGCAAATTATTATGTATTATTTTTTAAGCATTATTTCATTATTTAGTTGACCTTATGTTGTTTTTGTAAAAATTATTATTCTTTTAAATTTTTATTGTTTTTTCTCTTTCTTTCCCTTTCCGTGTCGTCTCCCTCTTTGTCTCATTGGAGAGCACTTAATTTAAATGTGTAAATTTTCTAACTACCATAAAGGTATACGCATCAAAAACATTCTACATGTACATATTCGTTATGCTTTAAGTACAATAAGTGCTTATTATCTGAACTTGCCGAAAAATTGTGGCATAGCTTGAACTACTTGGTGAGGCTTCTAAGTAAAAACATAAAAATAGTTATAATCCGCTCACGGAATCTCTCTCGAAATAAATAAAAGATTTGAACACATTTCAGGAAGTGGGGCAATATATCACGCGATCGATATCCAAGATTTTCTTAAAGCCGCAAACATATTCATTTAACTTGTCACATAAACCATAACAGGTTAGAAGTGAACCAAGTGAAATGTACGTATAACATGTCGGTCAATAATTCCCGAAACTAAAACATTAATGTCATCTCTTATAAAACATCGATATTATTTTTAGAAAGCGCTAACTCTGAAACGACGGCTATCAAAATTCCAAATTATTTCTTCACGGCAAAATCCGAATTCTGTGTGTTCTTTAAATGCTGCTTTTTATTGAAAATTCTTGTTAAAAGCAAACGTTTTTCGGCGATTTGATATGGTGAATAAATTATTTATAATGATTGATGAATTTCGGCACACGAAAATTTCATTTCCAAGCGGGTGTCGTGTTCATTCACAGAGGCAAATATGCAATGTGTAACAAGTCTTTGACTACTGCAGCAGAATTGCCTGAACTGAAGTTGCACTTCCATCCATCGTATTCCCCATATCTGATCCTTGCATGAATCAAACGATGAATTCGTTGCGGCAACGAACGCGCTTTGCCGGTCTTGACAAAACTACAACCAAACGTCTCAATATTGGAGAACCCTTAGTCTGCTTGCATCTCTCTTAAAGGAGGCTATATTGGTAAATAAAGTCGGATTTTGCAAAAAAAACAGAAAAAATTTTTATCACTGGACTTATTGATCGATGTATTGCGTAATCGGCTAAGCAAATTTATCCAAGGCCGCTCGTCTATCCGGACTTTCTCCTTCTCTTGTTGGAACTGTTACGTCCGTAATATCCATTAAAGGGGAATCTTGGAATTCGGTGCAGATTGCGATGCATTACAAACCAAGCTTGGGATTAGCCTTGACCAAATACAGTACGCTGTTGAGGGATCCAACAGTTTCAACGGCGTTTTTTACTAAACACATTTCAGCTTAAGGGAGACATGTTCGAAATTTACTTTAAAACAAAACAAAAAAAAACTGATAGGATAATAGTAAACATGGTCGTTCCATTTCGATTAACCGTACCTCGTATATAAATTTGTATGTATGCTTGATTAGATTCCAACAGGAAAACTCCATCCTATACTCTCACTCCACTTGTTTTGGTTTGTCTTGCAAAATTCACAATCCCGTGATTTGTAGAATTATGCTCAGATACTCTTAGTTAACTTGTCCAGTAAAAGAATCTCAACGAAAATCTGAACACTATTTCTATGGCAAAGTATATATATGGTTCACGAGGGTTGATGGTTATCCCAGGCTCGCCGCAAGGCAAACGTAAGCTTTTCTTCATATCAAGTTTATTTCATAGTTTTATCTACCTTTCATTTTCTCTTTTCACGTGCACCTTTAATAAAACTGATAGATTAAAAAAAAAGAAAATTAACTCATGTTTTGTAGTATTAATAAAACGCAAGCAACGAACTAATGCCCACCACCAACACAATAAATAAACAAATAAATAAATAAATAAATCGCTAACAATATCTTCTGAAGTTGTTTAAATGAAATTTAAACTCGTAATGCTATACATTAAATAGCGGAGAAATGAAATTGCATGAGAAGCATATTTTCAAATATTTATATTATATACCTGCTATACAATATACGTATACAAATATATGTTTTTAATTTTGCACTTAATGGAGACATTAAAAAAAAAACAATAAATTAAACAAATACTTTTTTTTGATAAATGTTTAATTAAAAGCTTAACTTATTTTCACGTGGCTAGGTCTAGTGTGTGTGGGTTTCGTGTTAAAGTTTCAAAAAAAAAAAAAAAAAAAAAAAGCTAAAGCATGTTAAGAGTTCTTTTGTTTGCTTTTAGTAACCAATAAATTTCACAGAAATGATCTTCAAAAAATTAAATTGTTCAAATATATACGATTTTAAGAAAAATTTTTCAGACAAATATATTTTACATTCTTTAATATTACGCATACATTTAATCAATTTTTAAGAAAAATTTATAGTGAAATTCGTTATCTTAGCAGGTAGAAGTGCTTATTATTTATTTATTTACTTATTGTTTATATATCTTGTAAATACCTTTACAAAGGCTGCCAGATAACTTAATTCATACGCGTGCAGGCGGATGGACGTGCTTATTATTTGGTCGTAAAAGCTAACCACAGTGGCTATTCCAGGGTTTTTGAATGGCCAAAGTTATTGAAACAGGTAGGCGAACAATTGCGAAAGACATATTCCCGCGATTTATTCGTGATAGTTCGGCTATCTCAGATAAAGGAAATAAAGAAGGCTAAATAGAATGCTAAGAAGGACGAAGCAGCTATATTTATGCCTACATCTCCGGCATACTAGGTACCTATAGTTAGTAAGTCGATCATATTAATCAGATTGCATAGCTAAGAAAGAAAGCAATAGGGAGACTTAATTGACAGTAAGCACTCATCTAACAAATAAAAGTAAGCGAGTACGATACCTTCAGTTTATCGCCAACAAGTGAGAGGCGTGCTTTACTACCTGTTATAGATAAGGAAGGTGAGCAGAGGAGGACAATAAAGGCGGTACGGAGGCATATGGGCCTAACCGGATATAATACACAATCGCGCAATTTAATTGAAGTAAAAGCGTCGGGTATCTTCTTTATTTTAGAAAGACGGGGAGCGTGCTCTCTAGCTCACCTACATAGGTGAGATGCAAGCAAACTAGAGGCTTAGAAGGGATGTTGGCCGATCCACACTGATGGCTGAATCACACAATCATGTGTTGTTCTTATAACCTAAAAGTGCGAAGTTTAGCTTAATACTAGAAGGTCAGGGGTTAATCTTACAGCATTAACACTTGCTCAACTTACTTACTTAACTTTCGATACTTAATGTGAAACTATGCGCTTCTTCAGGAGGTCACTAAAGCAAAGAGACTTCGATTAACGATTCGGAACGTAAAGGTTTTCGACAGCCGAGTTATACACGAGAGCACTGACTAACGAAAATAGTTAAAATCCGCGATGGCTAAATGACCAGAAAAGCGAAAGATGCGTCTCTTATCAAATTAACCTATACGAACTTGTTATCCATGGAGAAGACGCGAAACATGGACGAATTTTTTTTAGAAGTTGTGTAGTTCAAGCAAACGCACTCAAAGGAGCTCTCTCGCCAATTTAAGCGAACAAAGAGGGAAAATCTATAAAGATAAAATGATTCGTTTCCTCCCTTCCTGCTTTATTCACGAGAAAAAAAGTTCGCCTTGGGAAAAATTCGGTGTTAGAATCCCTAAAGAAGTTCTTGTCGAATGCGCAACTATGTTAGTTTTCCGTGGCTCGTAGTACTAGTATATGTACCGTAGAAGCTTTAAGGAAATATATGTTATGTAAACTCTAATCCACTAAAAAGGTACTTTCAGTCTTTCATTTCAACGTTGCAATGAAGTTTTCTTTACACCTTTTTTTTTTTATAAAACGTTTTGGTCTTCACTGATTCTGTATCAGCGATTTTTGGGAAGTTTTGAACAATAGCAGAGTATGGGTTAAAAGTTTATTATAGTGATTGATCTTTTTATTATATATGTACCTTAATTTGTGCGTATATAATTTCTTGTGGTTTCTACCATTTCTTGTGTGCTTTTAATCTTTACAAATGGCCCTGAACTGAGTGTTGTATTCAAGACAATGACAGCGCACAGCTGCAACATCATGCCAAAGTTGTATATGCAAAGGCTTTGTGGTAAACGGCTTCAAAAACGATTTTCTTACTAATACGTATGTAGTTACATAGGCTTTAGTAATTTGACTGCAAAGAGAAATATTGTTCATCACTCCAGCTATTAAAAATAAAAGTATATTAAGTCCAACAATTCATTTGTAAAAGGCACATCCAAATAATCTTGATCGGCGCAGAATAAGGAATCGGTTCGTCTGGCAAATTTCGCAAA